ATATATATATATATATATATATATATATGTTTGTACATCCAGTACGCACGATTCCCTAGATAGACAGACATGAATGCTGCTGCAGTGCATGTTGAAAGGATGTGGGCCGGCCTCGTTGATAAAACGTGGCTCCCATCCGCATGCATCCCAGTCTTATTCCTTCGGGTTCACATTGGATATGGGGTGTGTGGTTGGAGCTGTGGGTGGTGCAGCGCAATCCACCCATGGTACCTCTGTACGCGAAAGCTTTCTGTAGCTGTTCCCCTAGAGGGCACAATGACAGGCAAATTCGGAACCGGATGCCTTGAACCAAGCTACTTAAGGGGCTTGCGAGGAAACCGAAGCTTTGTTACCAAGGTGAGCCTATCACATACTAATGTTGATTTCAGGTGTTAGGAATCGAAGGTGCTTTATCGGGATGCATGGCACGATCTGATCATGACGGTAGTTGCCGAGGTGCAAGAGAAAGCCCACGTGCATGTGGAGAATAAGCGGCAGGTGAGGAAACGACAGGCGCCGATGGGGTGTACTCCATGGACGTCGATCGCATGGTACTGTAGCACACGCGGCCGCGAGTGTTTGAGTCAGGCAAGCCTAGTGAACCACCACCGAGGCCACTCAGGACCAGCATCGAAAAGACGACGGGTGCTGCTGAGAATGTAGCCAGAATCGGCGCAGCGTCGGTAGGTACGCTTCATCCAATGTACTAAGCGCGTGCTTGCTTGCCGATTTTTTTATTTCAGGTGATTGGTTCGCCATATTTTGTCAATACTTACTTTGTTACTTTTATTTTAATGTGTAACCGAATAATATTCTGTCTATTTACACACGTCGCTTAAACGAAAGGTAATTAATTTCGTTAATTTTATTCACTTTTTATTTCTTTTCTTGCCATATGGAGTGCATCGCAAACATGTTGATAACGAGTTTATTGTATATGCTAATTTGGTGAACAGTAAAGTCGGATATGCATCCGTATGCCTTATCCGATTTATTTTATTTGATATCGTTATTCCAAGAAATTGGCAGTTGCTCGAAATCCCCGGTGTTGTTGCGCTTGATGTGCATGTTGACAAGGTGCCAACCTGTCTATTACCCACCATCTGGTCTATACTGGTTCTAGGAGACAGCTGGTCGTTGCTGGAAAGGACGGGGTGCATGGTCCTCGTTACCGCGTTAGGCATAGAGTGGTTCCATGCACATGAATTGTGTATGGTGCGGACTCCGGTCCAGCCACCGCCTTGTGTGCACTTGATTCCCCAAATACAGCGTGCTTGTGTTTGCCTGTGAAGAAGTGTGGGCCGGCTACGTTGATGAAATGTGGCTCCCATCCCATGCCTCCCGGTTTTATTCCTTCGGGTTTACATTAGACATGAGGTGTGTGGATGGAGCTGTGAGTGGTGCAGCACAAACCACCCATGGTCCCTCTGTACAAGCAAACTTCCTGTAGCTGTCCCCGTAGAGGCAAATCCGGAACCGGATGCTGCGAACTATATATATTCTAGTCCTTTCGGCCAGGGACGAGCACACTGTTTTTGACCTGTATATATATATATATATATATATATATATATATATAGCCTGCGTAGGGGACTGGACGACCCTCGCGGTATCGTCTGCTCACATGCGACTGGTGGTGGTTGTGTGGTAGTGAAGCGTCAGTAGGGCGTACCGGAGTATTGCAGATTCAGTTCTTTACATCAGAACTAGGGAAGAAAATAGAGAAACAAATGAAATGCCATGGCAAAAGAAATGGAGGCTCTGTAGTCGTCAGAACCTTATCTTGAGTTATTTGTTTTGAAGTTCTTTGCGCTCGATTAGACAGTAATCAACACTGGCCCCACTAAGGTCTGTTATAGGCCGTAAAATCCAACGTTGGCAACCAGTGTGAGTCAGTCTGAAAGACAGACCAGCCCGACTGACGCTAAGCTTGAGGTTGCATTCCTCGTCATTGGTTGTTCACCGCGTAACATTTTCCAAACGTTGCCGAGTAGCACAAATAACACTCCATTGGAAGGGCGACAGGCTGGCATGCGCAATACGTGACTGAGCCAAAGTATGCGATGTCAGAGAACAAGGTTTAGAAAGTAGAGGTTGTTTGATCCAAGCACTCGGTCTCGGACCTCCGTGTTGCTAATGTGATGTTGTCACCACACACAAGCAATCTTTTGCAGATAACAGTTGTCCAAAACTGAAAATCATTTCATATCTTTGGAGCGAATAGGCCGTCACAGCCGCATAAGAGGACCGCACGGACAGAGGAAGTGTACACTCCACCTTTGAGCTGTAGACTGATATCGTGACGACACCACAGTCACCGTTTGATGAATGTAAAGCAATTCTTTGAGAAACCTCATCTTTAACATCGCTGCCAGCTCTGATGCAGCTCCCTAGATAAGTGAAGCAAGAGGCTTGTTGCAGGTCAGAAGCAATGGTGAGGGCAGGCAGAGGCATTTGGAGTACTGTTTTACATTTGCCTGGGGTGCAATACAGAGCACTCTGGATGACTCGTGATATCGTCGACATAGTCCAAGCCTGCGACTCTGCCGTCGGGAGAATATCAACACGAAATGTGCGTTGGACATCTTCAATGGCTAAGTCGAAGAGGAAAGGTTAAACAAGGCAACCTTAACGAACACCGCAGCTGACATAAAACGACGAGGAAAACTTGAAGCAAGCCTTGATCTTCCCCGACGTGTGAATGCGAAGTTCCTTCAGGATGGTCAAAACTTGTCGAGCACACCTTCCCTTAGTAAAGTTCCAGTTCTCAGATCCACATACTGAACCAAATGCCGTTCCGATGTCCAAGAGCACTACAATTGTTGGCAGTTCATGACGAATCAAAGGGTACTAAGATTGAACTGATAGAGACCGCTAAATACCTGGATGAAACAGATGTATCCCCGCAAAACCAAGCATGGCAGACGGGAGGTTATGACAGTGTCGTGTGAACGAAAAACAGTGTTTGAGAAGGAAGTGTCGAGTGCTCCTGCTGAGTCATTAAGTAACTAAGAGGAAATAACGTGGAAGTGCGTTACACACTTCGAGATGGGCTCAATCAAGTTAATGCAGACTGTGTGCTAAGTGAAGGTGTAGCTTATAGGTTGTATGAGTGCACCTGGAAGACACATGCAATAAAAATGTTCAAGTGGGAATACAACATTCATTGGATCTTATGTGCGTGTGTTTGAACAACGCATTGTCATCGTCTGTTAGTAGCCAGTATGAGTGGTCAGTGGGTTAAGTTGAAGCGATCGTTGTGTGAAAGGACTGCAATGTGCAATCTCAATAGGTGGAGCGCGATTCGCAGTTTGAAGTGAACCTTGGTCAATTCGATCACTGGGACTGTGAGTGACGAAGCAGACGAATATTGGGTGTTACTTAGCCAAAAGGGGCAGGGGTCCCAACTAACTACCCAACTGTCTCGGGTTAGATTCCTCTTACCTCTACCAGGGGAATAACTGCAAAACCGATCGTTGATTGCAGTGTTTTCGGGTGGTAAATACCCAATACTCTTCTGCTAGAGCTAATACGAGATTTGTGTAATCGACAGTCAATGACAGTTTTGCATCCAGTTTCGCCACTAACTCACATGTAAAGTAAAGAAGTGATTGTGTGACATCGGACAAGGGGGAGCACCAAACACCAGCGGTCAAACAAATGAGCGTGACCCGGGGCTCATTTTGAGCTAGCTTAACGGCTCGTACTGATGAGACATACCCAATTAGACTTTTCACTGTCTTAATATGTACACTCACAAAGTGTGCAAATCTATGTGGATGTTCGCATCTATTGCAGACGTGCTGAAATGAAGGGTGGAGAAGATCGAGTGTTGCATCATCCTAGAGATGATTTGCAATGTGAAACAAAAGAACAAGCAAAGGCACACCAACCTGTGCAGCTTCATCGATTTTTCGTATGCTCCAACGCCGGTTCTCCTTCAAATCAGGACAGGGATGGCTGCTGCTATTGCTCGGATACTCTCCCATAACGCTAAAAGAGAATAGATTACAATGAGCCGAGGACATTGATGGGGAGAGAAATACGTTACTACAAAGACTCGGTATCCAGGTTACCGCATAGGTTGAACTGCTTGAATTCAACAGGACACGACCTACAAGATGTGGATCTGATTCCTGGTGAGCGACTTAATGACTTGGAGTATGCCGACGATATTTCTAATTTGTGGCAGCTCGCAAACGTGCCAAGCAGCACTAGTTGTCAGCAGTTTTTGGCTATGCTTTGTACATTCGAAATGCAAATTCCTCCAAGATTGGTAGCGAAACAACCGTGTGCTGACTCCTGGTGCCGACCAGCTAGAAGTTGGCCAGAAATTTAAGTTTCACGGCAGATATTTTAGCGCCTGTGAATTGGACGATGAGATCATCAAATGTATAGCAAAATCTCGAGGCGTTTTTCCCAATCTCCGCCATCTGTAGAGTCGGCGTGACATGATTCCCACCTTGAAGGGCAGAGTTTACAATGCAGCTGTGCGTTTAACACTCTTGTACGGTTGCCAAACCTTGCTCATCACATCGACGGACAGAAACGGGCTAGTTACGTTCGACCATCTCTATTATCGCAGCTTAGCTCAGGTCTGGTGGAAACACCGCGCGAGCAACAGCGTATTCCACGTTTCGTATTTGGTGCAGACATAGCGAGTGAACCGCTCAGCGCCGTCACAGAATGCACCTGGTTCTGATGGCTGGGCCACGTGTTGCGCATGCCAACACAGACTGCCGTATCGTAGGCTGTTTGCGCGACTGGGGTGTAGATGGGAGAAGAGAGGGGAGACAAAGCGATGACTTGGTCAGGAGGAATGAAAACCTCCACTCCAGACTTCGCGTCGATTGGCGCCTCCCGACTGTCGAACTTGGGTCGCGAGGAGGAGGAACACGTTTGGTTGGATACACTTGTTGACAAGGTGAAGAGTCGACTTCAATGGCGCTTGTGTTGTGAGTTTCTTTGGCCCTCCCCCCTCCGCTTATTCTTCGTTTCCCACCCTGATGTCGCACCTGATACGTAAAATGACACTAAGGATCATACTACATTTTTAGTTTTGTATTGTATGCTGTAATGTTTTTCCCATACACCTAACTTTTTCATTTCGCGGCACATTAGATGGGGCGTGTTTATTAACTTCAGCTAACGTTTATTGGTGATGCCTGAATTCAACAGTCAACAATCGAGCAACCACACAGATGATAGTCGAAGTTGTGTGCTAATTATCCATAATATAGGAGATGGGATAAAAACAAGTGTTGCGAAGCAGGCGTATGCAGTGAACCCAAACAGGTACTCTTTCCGCATTTCATAACATGTGATTTCATTGGTCCTTACAAGTTCCGACTGTCCATTGGTTTCACTGATTGTGCACTACTTGGACACGTTCTGCGCCGGCGGGTGCACGCTACGTTTGCATCGTCGTTGCTGATTCGCTCTCCACTTCTTGTAGTCTGCACGCAACATTTGTTGAGTGCGGTTGCCTCTATTTATTCGACTGTTCCGTACCTGGTGTGCCTTCCACGTGCTATCGCTACCGCCTCGTATTAGAAGCGCACCAAACAAGTAAGGTTAATGATCACGCTAACCATGAAGTAATGGAAGGCAAAAGATAAATATGCACAATTCAGAGCATCATCATCAATATATACCTTGGCTAGAGGTGGAAAACACCTCAGCTATTGCGCCGCAATACACTAGAAAAGAAAAATTTGCGAAAGCACGCCGGCTGAATTGTCCGCAACGGATGGACATCGTTCCGGAGAGCCAACAGCCGGTTATTGTGCCGCAAAAAGAAGTATTATATTATACATATGAATTAAGAGCGTGGATGGAGGGGGAGGCTAGGCAGGTGGGGGAGAGACAAGAAACCCACAACACAAACACCACTGAGGTCGGCTTCTAGCCAAGTTAGCATGTGTTTATCGTCTTTCAGTCCCCAACCGGGGAGTCAAGAGGTTTCAACCGAGGCCAAATGCGAACTGAGGGCATTCATTTCTCTTGACTAAGTCCCAGCTTGGCCACCTCTTTTATTCTCCCATCCAAAACCCGGGAGCGCAAATAATGCACGTCGCGGGAGTAGGTAGGTTAACATGCGCAACACATGGCCAAGACATCGAAGCCTGGTGTGTGAAATAACAGTGCTGAGTACTTCGCATCTTCTTCCTGCGCCATAAACAAGGCGTCGAACAGACTCACTGCTCACACGGTGTTCCCACCAGATATGAGCCATATTACGAAGGCACCGGTTGTCGAATGTAACTAGCCTCTACATGTCTGCGGATTTTATGGGACAAGTTTCACAACCGTACAGCGTTGAACGTACGGCTGCATTGTACACATTACCCTTCATGGAGAGGGTGATGTCACGCCAGCACCATAGGTGGCGAAGGTTGGCGAAAGCGCCCCGAGCTTTTGACATAGATTTGTGATCTTGTCTTCAATTCCAACGACGCTGATACAACTGTCGAGGTAGTTGAATTTTTGAACGACTTCTAGCTGAGCCCCACCAAGGGTCAGTGCAGGAAGTGGCCCCTCCCAATCTTGGAGGAGAGAGCCAAGCATATACCGAAACCACTGACAGCAAGTGACGCTGTTAGATCAGTATGGATAGGGGGATGGAACCTCTCCCTGGCTTACTAAATAGGCGCTTAACCGATGCAATTCACCCTCGTGACGAGACTGGACTATAAAGTGCTGCGTTAACTTGTAAACCACAAAAATCATTGGACTACGAGAAAGGGTACATATTAGAGACCATAAACATAAGCGAATGAGTAGAAGTAAAACAAGGTCGGCATCAACGATAGATAACCCGTAGCCTAAAGGATCACAAACCTGCCTTGTAATCCGAGGGCGCGACTTCGGACCTGCGTAAGGGACCGGGCGACCCTCGCAGTATCCGTAATCCACGCGCGTCTGTTTGTGGTAGTGCGGCAGCAAAGCGTCGGTACTGCACACCGGCTACTGCTGATACCTTCTATCAATACTCAAAAGAAGTTTGCAACGTATTAGTCAAACAGCCTAATGTAAAACACAAACGCCACGCATTGTACCTGATGGTAAAAAGATACTGGAGGCCATATAGAGTACCACCACTCACTTCAAACTCAAAATCCACCCAGTAAATTAGGTTCAAACACGTCCAAATCTGCCCGGTACCAGAGAGAGGTTACGAGCGTACAAGTACCTAAGATAGTGGACACTTGGAAAGATTTTGGAATCCTTCAAGATTGCTTGTTGTTTACCTCAAGTACACCTCAAAGGGACTGCATTCGTATTCTCGACAAAGATATGCTCACTGCTGCCACGCGTCAAAGTGAATAAAATAAGCTGTGCAAAGTTCCCCATGAGATCCTCCATTTACCCGACTGCGCTGTGGGTTGGACTCGGATAGGCAAGGCTTTCCTTCTCAGAATAGGCAATCATATGGCTACGAGACTTCATCGACACCAATTTTTCTGATTATTTTCCGTTTATCCTGCCTCGGGTCACAACAAGCAAGAGGAAACTCCTGACGTATTAGCCAGTGCTAGCGAGGTACCTGAAACCAATTTCATATTAGTGGTCGCATGTCATAACAGACCCTTCAACCCCTGCACGTTGTAATACAGTCTATGGTTTTGTGGAAAACATGCGTCTTTCTGTCTTCGATAACGGTTGCTTAAGAAGGATCGCTCGTGTTTGGTGACAACATCGAGTTAATAGTAATGACGTTCGACGGCGCTTCTTGGGGAATGCGAGTATTCCCTTCGACAAACTGGTTTTGCTGCGCCGATTGAGATGGCACGGTCACATCCTACGCCTGGCACCTGAGCGTCTACCGCGTCGCGCTCCATTTGCTCGTCAAGGACGTGGCTGGAGGCGACCGCGTGTTGGCTAGCCTTCCACTTGGCGGCACCACATGCAGCCGCTGACGTCGTGTCTAGCCGCTGTTGGATACGTACGTCTTCAAGGATGGGGACCCGAAGACGAGGAGTGCCAATGGCTTAGCACTCTTGAAGATATGGCCCGCAACCGGAATTAGGGGAAGAATTGTGTGCAATATTGTCTTGATTCACGTGTTTAATACTCTGCCTTGTGGGTCAGGCTATTGAACCGAAGGCTCCGGGTGGAGTCCCCCAAGCAAACCTCCGAAGGAAAACGACAATCCCGCGCGCGATTGCCCACCAATGCAATCGTATGCCTGCGCGCAAAGTACTCAGCATCGGGTGCTGGAACGTGCGCACACTACTGGACCGGAACTCCAGCGAGCGACCGGAGCGACGCACTGCACTCGTCGCGATGGAACTGGCGCACTACCACATCGGCATTGCGGCGCTCAGTGAAACGACTCGCTGAGCATGGTAAGTTGCATGAAGCAAGTGCTGGCTACACATTCTACTGGGTGGGCAACGCCGCCTCAGCACCACGTGAACATGGGGTCGGATTTGCAATATCCGATCGCCCTCATGGTCTGCTGGTGAGTGAACCAACGAGCATCAGCGCGCGACTGATGACTGTTCGCCTACGACTCGGAAGAGGTAAGTTTGCCACTTTTATAAGCACGTACGGTCCGACCATGTGTTATCCTGATGATACGCGTGATCAATTCTACACTGAGCTATCCTCCGTGATACGGTCTGTGATAAGGAGCGACCGACTATTTCTGCTGGGTGATTTCAACGCGCGCGTCGGGCGTGATGCATCGGTGTGGACAGATGTTATCTGTCCGCATGGCATTGGTTCAGTGAATGCGAACGGTGACAGGCTGCTCTCACTGTGTGCCACTCACGGCCTGACGATCACGAACACTCGGTTTGCACTGAGTGCTGAATACTGAATACTGTGTTTTGGAGCAAGTAGAAAATAATTCTGTACAACTCCATCGGGTGATAATCAAAAACATTTAAAAAATATAAACACGTCCGGTGATTATCCTGAGATGGTTCAGCAACTCCTTCTGTAGCACACAAAATGCTTGTTCACACAGTGAGTCACAACTGGGTGAT